CGGCGAGCGGGGAGGTGAGAGGGGCGGGGAGAGGCCGGGGCGGGCGCTTGGCTGCCGGAGCAGGCGGGCTGCTGCCGCGGGAGGGGTGGCGCGGGGGGCACCATTGCAGCTCCGAGCCCTGCCACGACAGCGGAGGCCAGCGGGGAGCTGAAACGCTCCTCGGCCTGGTGGAGAGGAAGCAGGCAGTGCTGCGGGCGGGTACCGCACCCCGGCGCGGGCCGGGCGCCAGCGTGCAAGCAGCTGTACGATGCACGAATGCAGCGCTTCGGGAATACTTCCTACCTGACTGGAAACAGTCTCGCAGTTTGGACACCTGCACGGGGGAGGGCGTCAGCTTGAGAGTCAGGCCGTGGGATGAAATTTAGTGCCCTCAGCGCTAGGCCTTGTGGTGGTGAAACAGGAGCCAGGCTGCAAGGTAGGAGGCATTTATCCATGGGGTATGAATTAACCAAGTGCCAGAAAATAAGGCTTTTTTTTTTTTTCCCCCCAGCATCAGTGCATTCAGTAGCTTTTGAGAAGGTGGTTTTGCATCTCTCCCTTTTTGATCAGTCTCTTTGGTTTGGCTGTTTGTGAAATCTGCAGGAAATGCTGCAATCCCAATTATTAACATTTCAGAGAGGGTCTCCAGATCAAGTGTGGGAGGAGGGAGGTTAGAGCAGATGTGCTTACTTCATCCTGGTGCAGATCAAAACTTGTTCCTGCCTGGGTTCCCCTGACTGCTTAGCTGGAGACAGTCCTGCAGGCAAGAAAGGCAGAGGTGAGAACACCTGTGACAGAGGGGACAACAAAACCTTTCTGAAGCTCCATATGCAGAAATGAAACCTCTGCCTGCCTCTCTCCCAAGCAAGGAGAACAAAGCAATGGGTTAAGCAGCAGGAGCCAAAGAAGGGGTGAAATCACAACATGCCACCTGCTAGCCAGGTCAGCACATATGGAAAATGCAGGAGCACCTTGCTTTGCAGCCTCTCCTCGTTTTCTCTCCTACGCTGTGCCTATGGAGAGACCCGAGGTGCCAAACTCACATCAATCCCAGGGGATGTGACAGCTCCTGGCACGCGCCAGTCCTATACTGGGCACTCCTCACATTGTGGCTCTCCTCAAGAGCTCCTGGAGGCAGAGCCAAGGTCTCTCAGGATCTTCTTCCCTGAAGTAAAAGCTGCTAGCGGTGCTTTTCAACAGCATGTTTTGAGTGCGGGGTCCAGCATTGGTGACACGTGGGGGGGAGCCCCAGGGTGGCCGCACTTGCAAAGCAAAAGGCATCGCTGGAGCTTGCCCAGGCTAACGCACCCATCACTCCTCTGACCTCAGGGCCACGCTGTGACCATGTCTGAGCTGGAGAAGGCTATGATCGCCATCATTGATGCCTTCCACCAGTACTCAGGGAAGGAGGGAGACAAGCACAAGCTGAAGAAATCAGAACTGAAGGAGCTCATTAACAATGAGTTGACCCATTTCCTCGGCGTAAGTATTGCCCTCCATGCAGCATGCCTGGCTGGGCTCAAGGAGCCGTGCTGAGCAGCTGCTGGGCTCCGCTAACTCTGTCTCCATGGGAAGCAAGCGTAGGGGAAGGGGTTTATTCATGCAGCAGTCTGTTAAACACTTTGCTCCAGCTCCACAGGAGCAGCAGGTGGGAGGACAAGGGCCCCAGCCTGTACTGGGGGCTGGGGTTCGGGTTGGATAGTAAGGAAATTTCCTTCCCTGGGAAGGGGGGACAGCCTTGCCCCAAGGGGCTCAAGATGTCCTTTCCCAATGGCACAGCTGTGGCTGTGATTCCCACTTCAGGAGGCCCACTGTTCACAGATGCTGCTGCAGACACAGGGCGGTGCCCCAACACAGACAGGAAACAGCAACGAGCTATTTGAGATGTGTCTGAACAGAGATTCAGCCATGAGAGCACCCGAGAAGCAGGGACATGTTACTGCCTGGGCCTCACTCTGGTCCTCCACAGCTTTGGCTGCCTGTTTCTGTCCCTTCAGGAGATCAAAGACCAGGAGACTGTGGACAAAGTCATGGAGGCGCTAGACAGCGATGGGGATGCAGAGTGCGACTTCCAGGAGTTTGTAGCCTTCATTGCCATGGTCACCGCTGCTTGCCATGAGTTCTTTGAGCATGAGTGAGTTGGTGGGAAGCAGGCGAGCACCTCCTGCTCATGCCAGAGAGATGCAGAGCAGCGTCGCTCCTCCAGGAAAAAGACTGGGTGCGATTAGGGGCTCCTTGGAGTTAAGCTTGTGCTAGACTTAAGCAGCTTATTAAGTTCTGCAGCTTTGTGAATAAGAAACACCTGCATGGCTCAGCAAAGCCTATCAGCCAGTGCCCACCTGGCTGGATGCGGTGTTCGAATGCCTTGTCTCGAGCTCCTTCCCTGCTGCTGTATGCAAGGGATGTGCATGGGGCTGGAGGCAGGTGGACGCTGCGATCCAAGCTTGCTTGCAAAGGGAAAAGGGAAATGGGAAATTCAAGGGCTGAAGTAGGAGGTGATGCAGAGGGGCTGGTTACAGAAGCCTGGTTCTGAGCTCACTGGCCTGAATGGAAAGGCTTCCGTTGATTCCCGTGGGCTCTGACTGCCCTGTGCATGGTACTAACCCAGGCAGGACAGCCCCTGTCCTGTCACAGGGGTTCAGCAGTCACAGGGTTTCAGCAGAGCCCACGCGTTTCTTGGCAAAATGCTAGGCTTGAGAGGCAAAGCATAACCATCTAACAGCCCAGGCTTTTCTCTTGTCAATGAATCCTCCTGCTTTTAGCAGCCTGCAGAACTGGAAGCAAAAGCGTACGAGGCTACTGGGCTGGGGACTGTTTCTGGGCCTGGGATGTGCCTTCATAAGGTCTCCAGGCTCAGTCAGAAGGGAAGGGGGGATCTGCCCAGTGTGACCACAGTGCTTTAACATAGACCAGGCACAGCCTCCGGAGTGTGTGGAAATGGTGGAAATAAAATGGAAATTTTATTCTTAAAATGTTGTTTTGGTCTCTGGGCCGCAATTGGTCTCTGGTAAAAAATGCGTCCTTTTGTCCCAGGCTGCATGCAGCTCCCCAGCTGCCCTGCACTGTCAGAGGGGAAGGCTGGAGGATGCAGCCTGAAGCACTGCTACGGCTTATGCCCCTGGGTTTCTTGTTGGGCATTGACCCTTCATCTCCTCCCTAGCATCACTGTGGCTGGCCAAACAGCTCAAGGCTGTTGCCACCACCATGTTCTGCCTGGTTGTCCAAACTGGCAGATATACCTCCAAGGCCAAAGGAGTGCAATGCACCTTTGTGGGACTGCTGCTGTTCAGGATGTGTCCGCTGCTGCCAGGGTCATCCAGGGGATCGCACTTGTGAGCCTTTGCAAAGCCAAAACTAAACCTAGGATAATTTCCGCGAAGCCTATACTCCTGCGTTTTTCAGTCTGCACTTGCCATCCAGCTCAGCAATACCTGTGAGTTAGACATTCATGACTAGCAACATCTATAGTGACAAATTCACAACAAAGATGCCCACAGATGATGTTGTCATTTTTACCTCATTCCACATTTCATAATGATTTCATGCGCAAAATGACATGTCTTCAGATAGGGACCATCTTGCTATTCTCATCTGCCTCCTCCAAGCTATGAAAAGGGACACTCAGGCAGAGACATGCATACAAGAAAGACAACGTCTTGTACTCCATCTAGAATTAGAAAAGCAGTTTTGCCATCCCAGGGTAGCACTCGTTTGTTGAGAGCTTGTTTAGCATCCAAGTTACTTCTGCCACACTTCTAACATCCTAATCAGTTCTCGGTTCAACTGTTTCTAACACTTCTACGGACCTGAGGCAGCATGTGAGGACAACGAATGGGGACACTATCTGTCCCACAGTGTCCCCAAGGTTAGGCAGATGGGACTCTCATGACCCTCTCTCAAGCCTGAACCCGAGTTCAGCAGAGGGGTCTGATGCTTCAGCACAAGGGTCTGCAGGTGAGGCTGTGTGGCAGGTCTCCAAGTCCCACCTCCCTTCTGACTCACCGCACCAGCAGTGCTCACATGGATGAGGAATCCTTCCCCAAGATTGAGCCTTTTCAACAGCAACGCAGTGGCAAAGAGCTGTAGGTGTAACATGCGGCTTGAACGCTGGCAGAGCCAGCTGTCCTGTCCTTTAGCGGGCAATGGGAGCAGAAGCAGGGAGTGACACAGTATGACTGCACATGTTTCTGGCAGTAAGGCTGATCCTGACTTAGCAACACCACTGCTGGGAATTCACAGAGGCTTTACCTGGCACAGGAGAAGGCGCAGCAGAGCTGGTGCCTCTTGTCAGGGAGGAAGAGAGCATGTCTTCCTTTCAGGTGAGCACCCTGACTGCCAGCAGTGCAGTACACTGTGCTCAGGCTGCTGAGCCCTGGTCACTCCTCCCCAGTCAGCGAGGAAAGCAGAGCTTTCCTTAAGTGAAATTCCTGAAACAGACTGCATGGTCACAGGCCTTAGCACCCCCCAGTCTGCACTGCGGCTCTGCTCCCGTTGTGTCCTGCTGCTCTCTGACACAGGCGGTGCCTCAGCTGAGAGCATGGACTGTGGGGACAGCTGCATGCTGGCATGGTGGGGGAGGCAGGCAAAGCAGTTTGTGCAACACCGGCCCAAGCACATAGCATGAGGTGCCTCTGCTGACAACTCGCTACTGCTGATCCCTCCTGCACACTGCCCCCTTGCACGCACAGGCACAGACACAGCCAGCCACCTGCAGCACCTCTGCTAACACCCTGGGTCCCCATGGACCATGCAAGCCCGCTGTGTCCAGCCTAGAAAAAGGATGCTGCCACGCCAACAAGGGGTTTGAGTAGTGTTTCACAACACTACTCAGAAGCACGGCGAGGCTTTCTGGGGAAAAAAGAACATCACTCAAGCCTTGTGGCTGACCAAGGAGCAGCTGTCAGAGCTTTGCAAGGGAGACAACACAGCTGGCTCTGAAGGAGGCTCAAAAGGCTTAAGCAACTCACTAACCTCCCAGCAATGACAGGCAGGCTAGATACGTAAAAGTGCCAGTCCTGACACCACTGGTTTTCAGGCTCTGGCAGGGATAGTTCACTCTTCAGGAAGGGAAGGTGACAGGCTAATGACATTATGAAATAATTTTTAGTTATGCCCCCATCCCGACCAACAGAATCAGCCTGCTGTATGCCTGAGGTATGTGTGCTCTTACAATACCTCACTGGCTCTGGTTAGATTGATCTGGCATTGCATCGATCCCAGAAGAGCTCAGAAAATTCACATTTTTGTCATTAGTGCAGACTGGCATGTGACAACCTGCAGAAAGGCTGTTTTGGTAACATCAAGCTCTGGGATCTGTGCCATGGGACTCTTAGGGCCCTGGGAGGCTCCCTGAGGATGAAAGAACAGCATTACACTAGCAGCGCCTACCTGATATTTGGACACATTTGCCAGTTATGCTTTTGACTCTCTATAGAAGAGGACACAAGTGAATTTCCTACCAGGAAGGGCACCAAGAGATGGTTTCTTATATTAAATGCCCTGTCAAGACAAGAACTACTTATCAACAGTACTAAAAGTGAAACAAAGAGAAGAAAGTACAACAGGAGGAGCCTGAGATGTTTAACAGACTCAAATTAACTTTCAAACTAGAAAAGTGACAGATGGGGGGCAGATTTAGTACATACATGCTGTATTGTACCTCTGCTGAATTACATTTTCATAATTTAAAATGCTGCCATTACTTTTTGTTCTGGGAGATTAGAATCTGCACTTTTAGTCACTCCCCAGATAATTATAGGCAAAGTGCACCTGTGAAAGGGAACCCTCTCTCTGGATCAGACACAAAATTACCAGCACTGGAAGAGCACTTACAGACCCCCACAAAAAAGTGCTTCCACGTAAGATCTAAATCTTACTGGGAATGCTAATTATTGCTGTTATCACATCTAAAAAAAAAATTCATCTTGTTAACTGTCAATGGGATGTACATTCAGGATGAATCATTCAATAGCACAGTTCATGTGCTGACAGCAAGAAACATAATTTGTCTTAAAAAGAAAAAAAAAATACACTTTTCCCACAAATCATCTACAAATCAAATGTGGACTTTTACAGACCCCAGAGAAAGCATGTTCCTGACCTTGTTGGATGGAGTAAAGCAATTGCGTAAACAAAGCACTGCACTGCTGGGCCGTGTCGCCCACGCGTTCAGAACTCCGCACTGCAAGCTGTGATGGCACTGAGAGGTGCTCCTCCATCCTGGCAGTCTAATGACATGGAAGCACATTCCTCAAAAGAAAGCATCAGCATTTCTGTGAGTGATCCATGGACTGAATTTGTTCCCCCTACCAGATATTAAATCTAAAGGAACTGCCTGGCTGTACTTACTGTACTGCAACAGTCAGGGCATTAGAGCATATTTTCAGTTTTTCCATTCTGAAATATTCTTGACACCGGATTTTACTGCACAGTCTGAGTTCACCCTGCATCCCGAACAGTGTGGACTTCAGATTGCAGGGGAAAGGCAGCTGACAGAGCAGGAAACTAGAAAAGCAAAATGGGAAGCTTTTTAAACAAAACAAAATAAAACAGCTCCAAAACTATTAAGGAGCAACACAAAACTGATCTTTAAAAGGCCACTTTTATATTTTCTTGCCACTGAAATTTTGATTCTGCATGCCACATTACAAGTATAGACACAACAACCATGGCATTGTCATCCACGTTTGGCAAAGAAAAATGCCAGGAATAAAGACAAATCATTATTTTGCAGCTACCTTTGTAAGCTAAGTTTTAAGGAATGCTAGAAAATTAGCAAATGCTTTTACTTCCATAAGCAAACTTTTATGTTTAGGTGAGAACAGGATTTTAAAAAGAAAAAAAAAGTGACTGGAGAAAAAGATAGTGGTGTATATTATTTTAATAACATGTACTGAATGACAAAAAAGATAGAACCCTGCTTATATAGCACTGGCATAACTGAACTGAAAATAATCCCCAGTGTGTCTAGTTCCTCCTAAACAACATGACTGGTCACAAAACAAAATCTAAAGACTGTCGCAAAAATTTACATTAGAATTTGTCATGACAAGAAACTCTGGCTTAGACACATCTAATTTGAAATATCTGACCATATAAATATTTAAAGTATATTAACCAGCTGAATATAAACAACAGTTCAACAATAAGAATTATATCTTAGTATACCCAGCATCAAGTAAATCTTGAAGTGCAAAAAGCTAGAGAATTATTCAATGCAGTTTTGTTAGTTTTGTAAATTAGTTCTTAGATGTAATCCAGCTTTATCATCTACTAACATGATTTCTGGCCTGATACACTGCAATACTTTAAATGTTCAAGCTTTTGGAAAATTCCTTTTTTGGCCTTAAAGCAGAGTTGTGAGTATGCTATAGAAACCAAAACCAGATGCCTATCCAAAAAGATCCTTAAAGTGCATAATACGTGTTTTCACACAATGGCAGGGAAATAGTGTTAAAAAAATCAGGGACTTGGTACAGAAAATTAGGAATGTGCACTTAAAATGAACTCACTGCTTCCTTTTTTTCTGCTATAATAAATTCCTGGGTAACAATAAGCGATAAATAAAGACGTAAAGTAGCCTCATAGTACTGTTGCAGGAATGACATAAAGCTTATAAAAAGTCAGTATAAAGTGCTGGCTCACAAAGAACACCACTGCAATAAAGGCAGTTTTATTAATGTTTACAAAGTTATTTAGTACTCACTGGAGTCCAATCTCACACCCCAGAATAAATCTGAAACATTCCATTTCAACAACAGCTCTTTCGTGGCATCTTGCCTCATTCCCTCAGCGTGGTGACTGGCCAGCGAACCAGCTACAGCAATTTGTTAATTCAGAAGCAGACAGGGCTTAGGATTCCTTTATTACTATATTTTACGTTCCCGAAAGATAGGGTAAAAAAAAAAAAAAAAATCAATCTTGTAACTTTACTACAAGCTGGTATTTCAAATGTCAAACTCATTCAATTTAAGATGAATTACAGATTTTTTGACACCTGTCTTCATTAGTTTTGAGGAATATGAGTTAAGTTGCTTTGGCAATAAAACCTGCCGTGCTTTAAATGCACTTCATACACAGCATTATCTGGATGCTAAGTACAAGGCCTTGTTGTAATTAACAGTGAGAAAACCAGAAAAGGCTCAAAGATGCTATCTTCTCGCTATGTACAGTGCTTTTAAAACAAATCGTATTTTGCAGGATAAATTCCTGCTTATTTCCTAAACCCACTGTTGGTACAAATCTGTTTTCTGTAGATACGCCACCTCTCTTGCCTATTCAAACAAAAACTTTGCCTTCGTTTACGAGACTACAGCTTAATTTATTTCCACATACAAAGAAGCATCCCTCTTTCAATCTGGGTAAAAGCAAGTGCTTTGGTCAGGAACCCCTGGAAGTTTGCGTTAGAAAATGTTGCCGACATGAAATAAAACCACCAGGACCTGAAAACAGGCTGGAATTCCCCTGTAACCATGGAGCGTTCTGCACACCACACCGACTGTGGGGAGCCTCAGCAGACTTTTATGTATCTGCTGTGCCCCAGAGAAGTGTTTGCATTGAACCTTGCATCAGAGAAAGAATTCCATTTGGAAACATGCTCCAGAGTAACACTGGTGCAGCTATCATTTTCTTTTGATAAAAGTTAAACCAGACACTCTACCTCCCATAAGCCATGTTGTGGAGGGCCAGGAACAGTTCTTGGTTTAGTGACTTTTACAGCCTTTCCACCTGCTGCTGCTCTGGCTTTGGGTCAGCCTGGTGAGGTTGCTCAAGGCTGTCATCTTGGTGCTGCTGTTCCTGCTCCTGCTTTTTCTTTTCAGCGAGTGCTTTTGTCCTGGTGGTGACTGGCCTGGGTTTAGCATCAGGACTCTCTTCATCCTGCTGGTGCTTTACACAATGTTTTTCAAAGGTGGAAATTTTGGCATATGTCCGTTTGCAAAGCAAACAGTGGTATGGCCGCTCCCCACTGTGTGTTCTCATGTGAAGCTGGAGGTAAGAGGACCTGGAAAAGGTTCGGCTGCAGACCGAGCAGCGGTGAGGCTCACGTGCCTCGTGGGTCTTCAGGTGCTGCTTGAGGGACGATGCCTGCTTGAAGGCCTTCCCACAAGTGGAGCACTTGAAGTTCCTCTCACCTGACTCGAGAAGCTGGTGCGACACAAGGTGGGCGGAGGAGCGGAAGTTCTTCCCACACTTGTCGCACTTGTAGGGCCGTTCCCCGGTGTGCAGGCGGATGTGGAGGACCAGCCCAGCCTTCTGCGTGAAGGCCTTCTCACACTGCAGGCACTTGAAAGGCCTCTCACCTGTGTGCACGCGGCGGTGGGTCGCGAGGTGCGAGGCGCGCCCAAAGAGCTTGCCGCAGTCCTCACACTTGAAGGGCCTCTCGCCTGTGTGGATGGCCTTGTGGCGCACCAGGTGGGAGGACTGAAGGAAGAGCTTCCCACAGACGGGGCACTGGTACTTCCGCTCGCCTGTGTGGGAGCGGAGGTGGAGGGCAAGATGCGACGAGGAGATGAAGGCCTTGCCGCAGAGTGGGCAGGCGTGGGGCCGCTCCCCAGTGTGGGTGCGCTTGTGGAGGACCAGTCCCGAGGAGAGGGCGAAGGCCTTGGCGCAGATGGGGCAGCGGTAGGGCTTCTCCCCGGTGTGGACCCGGCGGTGCTTGGCCAGAGCGCCGGCCTGCGCGAAGGCCTTCCCGCACTGCTCGCACCCGTGGGGCC